GGCACTTCTGGGTCTGCTCATCACCCATATCTGCAGCTACTGGAGACGTTAATCCATCCCTTTGTATCAGCGTTTTTGCTTTTTCTTTAACTGTTACTTATAAAGTTTAAGTATGTTTGGTGTGTATTTAAAGCATACAATATTTGAGTATGTGAAAGTACAGTAATATTTTAATGGTACACAAACTATTTAATATATATATATATATATATATATATATATATATATATATATATATATATATATATATATATATATATATATATATATATAGAGTGAGTCACTGTGCAATATGTATTTTTTGTGGGGGCACGGCGGCAAACTCAAGGGCCGCCCCGGGCGGCACACACTCTAGCTACGCCACTGCACGTGAGTAAGTATTATTTTCTGGGAACCAATGTTTAGAAGGCGTAGAGTGGTGATACTAGTAGATTACTAACTCAATATTTATTAACACAGTGAGTGGATAAGATGCATCTTAGATTCACTCAGACAAAACAGAACCGCAATTAACTTATTAAGTTATCAAACACTTCAAGAACTTATTACCTCATTAAACACCTCCAAATACTTATTACTTCATTAGACAATTGTGGTAGTATTACCTTGACAAATGAGATTCCGTAACTATTATACACAAGATATCACTGGACCCTCAGGTCTTACTTTAACAAGTAACAAATTACCTCTTCAATTCTTGGTTAGAACATTATACTCTCAGGTTATTCTTTCCTGGTCACTACAGACGAATACATAACACAATGGACAACTCCACAATTATAGTAACATACAATACCTCCTGTTAGTTCGCAAGGAACAACCTGGTACCTTTAACTCTCATTCAGTGGTTCAATACTTAACCTGGGATGACTATATTTCAGCTTGCCATCCCCAAGCATGGATATTAATACGGCTCCATACATATAACCAAGAACAGTAGATAGACCATGATCATACGACGGAGTCAGTGGGCCAAAGTTGTTTACAGGCTCGCTCGCTCGCTCGCTAGCTCGGAGCGCTTGGCCCAAGAAAGGTTGACTCGTGGCGGTGGGCCGTGGCGTCTGCCAAGGAATCTCGCCCTGGGATTCTAATCTCGCCACCTTAAAGACATCCTTCGAGAGACATCGTGCCCATAGGCGGCTCCCGAACTTCAGGAGTGTTGCTAACCCCCACAACAGCGTCTGGAGACGTGGAGGAGAAATCACAGAGGGAGTGATTTTTCCTCGTGCGCTGGCATATATATATATATATATACGGGCCTGAGGACATATTCCTACTAGAAAGACTCATTTTACTAACAATAGGCCCTCTATTCAAAGTAGTCGTTGGACACCTAGCTGTGACCGGCAGTATCACAGATGAGGCTAATTTTCTACATCTATATTTATGATTTAATCAGAGATTGAGTGTGTCAGGAAAGAGGTGAAATGGAGTTATATATGCGTTTGCAACTCTATTGGCCTGACCGCAAACCACATCCCAGGTCAAATGGCCGTTAAGTCATGGAGAATTTTGAGTTTGACAGAACTGTTCAGGAGATTAATGACTTTGTAGTGGATTTCTCCCCTGCAAACGCTGTTTGTCGCTGAGTAGCTGACCCCACCAATTCCCCAGTGTATGCCTCGTGGTCTAGGTCAACCAGCGCCGCCATGCATCATGGAGCGGGGGTCAACTACTAAGCCACGCCAACCCCCGCTATTTAAGACCTGACCTTGTGGTGATCTCTCTTTTTCTACCCACACCAACCAGCCAGCAACACCTCCTCCGCCGCTGCCTGGCGGCCCTCGCTCCTCGCTCCTCCTCCGCCTGCCTGGCGAGCATGGCGACCCACAAGCTGTCCTTCTCTGAGCATCCTCACCAACCAGCTCTCTCTACATCACGCTTGTAACCATGCTGCCTTCCCAGCACCAAGCTGCATTGTACATCCAATACAACATGTATATAGAGAGCACATTGTGAGTTTCCTTTCTCCAACCCATCCTGAGTGTGAACACCAAACAATCTTATACCCCACAAATGGTGACTCCCGGAGATTCGCACTCACACAGGATGGAGGAGAAACTGATCACGCTCCCAGTCTTCAAGCAACATGGAAGACTGGCTTATCTACACAGAAGCAGCTCTCATTGGCTCTACAACTACTGTCTCTACACCGCAGGTTAGACACCCTAGAGCAGCACTGCTTCTCTAAGCAGACACCAGCTCCTCTTCCTGCCCCAAGCACCACGTCCTACCGACCCCAGCACACCCGTCCTGCCTCAGACGCCGACCCTGGCCCAGCAGTAACCCCTGCCGCCCCTGATGCGGTCTCTGTTCCTGAGTGCGGACCCACACACCCCTCTTTTCTCCCTCAGGTACTCCCTGCTAATGTCCTGCACCCTGCTGCTGTCGTGGACCCAGCTGCTGTCACGAGCCCTCATCCGCTTCTGCTGACGCAGCCCCTGCTCCTGACCCAGGCCCACACACCCCAGCAGGCGCATCTGATGACTCTGTACCTGCCATGAGGGAAGCACAACATTCATCGCCTCCACACACCCTTTTTCTCCCTCTCTTCTCCCACAGATAGTGTGTATCTAGACAATTGTATCCAGCGACAGGCTCATCCACGCCATCGCCGTTGTCTCACATGAGGCATGCACCGCCCGTGTGAACCAAACAACCTGAAACCCCACAACTTTCTTAAATAAACAACTGACACTAACTAAACTATAAACATCAGATTCTCTATGTCGGGGCGACAAAATAATATAACTTCAGCAGCAATCAGAAACTCATGGGTATCCCCACGGACGACATAAAATACGCCACTCTAGCTGGCAAACTCAACACTCGCATATTTGACACATCTTACTTGCACTGAGGACAGTTGAAACGCTCAACACCACTCACAATGGATCTTGACTGTTCCAACTGTAAACAGACATATCTAAGTAGACTCAAAACAAGGGTGTTCTCTCTCACATTCAAATTCATTTTATAGAGAGGTAGGTTGCAGTAAGTCAGAGAAAATGGGATAACGGAGGACTGAGGTGTCTTGAAGTGATGATAAAATGGACTCCTCAGATGGAGGACTCCAAATAAAAGCAGAGGTACATGTTTTGTGGGCTATTGAGCGTAATATGAATCATTTGATTTTGGCGTTAACTGACGTGTATGACCGTGGTCGTTACACACACACCCCTCCCCACCCTCTCCCCGGAGCAGAAATACTCCGCGTCAGGTCACTCGTTCAGTCACGTAGTGTTCACGTACAGTCTCGTTCAAGATTCTTCGAACACTGCTGGACACACCTGGCAACTCAAGGCTGTTTGCTTACTATAGTACTTGGTAAAAATTTTGAATGAATGTAAAAGGTTATCGGTGATTGGTTACTAAGTTCCCTGTTGCTTAATTAATGGTTGGGCTTTGTTGTTTCATATTGATATTATATTATACTACGGACTATAGTAAACAAGCGGCTTTGAGTTGCCAACTGTCTCCAGCAGTGTTCGAAGAATCGTGAACGAGACTGTACCTGCTTGGGTGTGTTGTGTGAGAGCTGCTCGGCGTGACACTCACTGATTTATATTTATCATTGGATTTTATGTCTTTACTAAGTTTACTGTACATTAGATGAGTATGATTCTATGCTTTTGAGTTGTGGTATAAAGTGAATTTGGGGAGCTGCAAATATCTACTAGTCTACCTACAGTATGCATGAAATTTGAGAATTTATGATATTTATCATATTCTATTTTGCATTTCAGGCTTTCAGTTTCAGTTATTAAAATAATGAGTGGCAAAGGTTTAAGTGGAGCTGCTAAGCTCAAAGCCAGAAAAGAAAAACAACAACAGTATTCTGCTGAACTTAACAAAAATGAGAAGTTAATTTTTTTTTTAAATATAAACCAAAGTAAAAAAACTTGCCATACGAGTACCCCGTCTGCTGATGCTACACCTACAACTGGCCAACTTGGCTGTAGAACCTCGTCTGCTGATGTTACACCTACAACTGACCAACTAAAGGAAGAGGACTTACCTTGCTGTAGTACCTCGTCTGCTGAAGTGCTGATGTTACACCTACAACTGACCAACTAAACGAAGAGGACCTGGCTGTAGTACCTCGCCTGCTATACATACAACTGACCAATCAAAGAAGTGATGAAATTAAACGGCATGATATTCATTACATTGAAACTGATCCTGGGAAATGGAGAAGACCAATATCACAGGAACTTTAAATTTACTGGTCAAAGGCTGGGCCAGATACTTGTTAGCATCATGACTCTGAGTTAAAGGAACATTAAGAACGCATGGTTCAGGTGAGCGTCAGAAACGCCGTTTCCTCTAGAAGTCTGCATTCTTCAGAACGTTGAGTAATGGCGAATCAGTAAAGAGAGAATGGTTACTCTTCTCTAAATTACAAAGTAATCTCTACTGTTTCACATGTTTGCTTTTCTCTAGTACATCTACAATTTCACCAATTGTGCATGGTTTCAATGACTGGGCACACAGCAAATTGAAGCTCACCTCCCCCTTTCCGTTCATTGCCCTGTAGGTATGACACTGTTCAATAGACACTCGGGGAGATGTCACAAAAGTGTTGTATGCATAGCTAACTCGGCACTCCAAAGTTCGTCAGGAGGAGGCATCATTCTGCTCAGAAGTCCTCCATGTTGGGTAGGCCAGACAACCATCACCTCCACTGGCGCAGGATTTCGAAGCTCAATTCTTCTTCCCACCTCATGGACAGTTGAAAATCATTTTGGAAGATGCATTTTGTCTTCAGGACAAAGAGGCACATGAAGCCTTAAGGGTCATAGACGAATTTTACAATGATAAGGAGTCCCCTCTTAGTTTCTGGGTGTGGTGTTGTGTTGGTGGGAATGTAATTCACATTAATATTTCACACACTTGAACAGGCTTGTAAGGCGGCGCTGGTTGACCTAGACCACGAGGCATACACTGGGGAATTCGCGGGGTCGGCTACTCAGCGACAAACAGCGTTTGTAGGGGAGGTATCCACTACAGTACCTCCCTGTTTGGTAGCTGCCTACTACCGCTTGTCAGCTGTTGGACTCCCTTGCATGCGAACATCAAGTGCAGGGGAGGCATGGGATGCCCGCTCATCAAGCCCTAAAAAGCAGGAGCAATGCCTCCCTCTCTCTCTCTGGGACAAATGTGCGCCACACAGACATAATGGAGAGCAGAAGGATTGGGGTATGTGAGTGAGCGGTGATAACAAACAAACATAAAACCAAATTTCCATGAATATCATTGTCAAAGATGTGATATTTCTACTTTGGTATTCCTTTCATCTTTTGCATGTAACATTTTGTTGTTATTGTTGCAGCATGGGCGTGGAGGTGTGGTTATTGTTGGTGGTGGGCGTATTGATGGCGTTGGCATACTCCCGATGGCGCCACAGCTACTGGTCATCCCGTGGGGTGCCCACTCCGCCCATCATTCCCTTTCTTGGTCATATACATGCCTTGTTTTTAAAGGGTTTGAAACCATTGCTCTATGAAAATGAGGTGAGTTTTTACAGTTTACTCGTATATTGAATAAACCATATTTTGGTGTCCTTAGAAATGTAGCAATTTGTGGAATTTAAATGCTTACTAATTGTAAATTGAGTTGTGCCAACATGTCATCAGTGTGATGAAATGATCCACTTAGATACTACCAGCACCTGATGAAAGTTCAAAACTTGTAACAATTACTAAGGATGTCAAAAGTGAATGGAACTGAGTGTAGTAGCCAGATAAACAAGTGGAATTAGAAAATATAGAGGTATTTAACAATGAGGTTAACCCTCATTAGTATTTAATAAGGAGTAAAGGTTCAAGGCAGGTTATTAATATTATTGCTGCCATTTCCACACTAGATGACTTACAGATTATCCCAGGACATCAGTAGCTATTTTTAATGACACACAGTAGCAGTACAGTATCTGTAATTTTGCAGTACAGTATGTTGAAAAGGTTAATTGTCATTTCTTTGGTTTTGCCCCAGGTATACAGCAAATATGGTGGATCAACTTTCTGCGGAAAGTATGAAATGTTCCGACCAATTCTGGTGGTAGGTGATCTAGAGCTGATGAAGCACATCACTGTCAAAGACTTTGATTACTTCACTGATCGTCGAAACTTCACACTGACAAATGAGGGAGATGATGTCATGAACGATATGATTACAAACAAGACAGGTAATGAGTGGAAGACCTTGCGTTCCATCATGACTCCCACCTTCACTTCTGGCAAGATGCGAGGGATGTACCCACTGGTCTGTGACAAGGCTGATGACCTTGTCTCTTTCTCACTTAAAGAGGCAGCTAACAATCCTCATATTGATATGAAACACAACTTTGGACGGTTCACAATGGACACAATTGCCTCTTGTGCTTTTGGCATTGAATGTAATTCTTTTGAAAATGAGAATTCTGAGTTTCCAAAGGCAGCAGCATCTTTCTTTCAATTAACTTGGAAGAGAAAATTAAGTATTATATTCCTCATTACGCTTCCAAAGGTTTTCAAGTTTTTTAAATTACGTTTTAATCCTCCCTCGTTAGATTTCTTTGCGGAGGTAGTTAAAGAAACCATAGCAGCGAGAGAGAAAGGAGCAAAACGTGGAGATTTCCTGGACCTACTGATGGAGGCTGGTAAGGACAACCCTGAGAAGAAACAAGGTATGCTTTTGTGTTACTTTTCTGGGTGTACTTTTTGGTGTAAAATTCATTAAGATGGAAATTATTGAAACCTCAGTAGTATTTTCTCAAGTCTCAATATAATTTGTGTTCTATTTAGGGCCTCACATTATTTTACTTAAGAGTGACCATCATGTAAAACTGCCCTAGGAATCCTCAAATCTATCTTATGGTAGACCCTGCTGTCATATGACATCACGAAAATTGTGACCAAGTCCCAGGTTGCTGATCTGACTTTCTGCCTCATTTACACACAATTGCAGGGTCTCGATTGTTTCTCTTAACATTGACAACACAACATACATACAGGTTGACAACCCTTTATCCGAAATTCCGAAAACCGAAAAGCTCTATGAACCGAAAGTTTTTTGTGGGGCTTTTTTTTTTTTAAACAGGGATTATAAGCCCACCCAGGCACAGATCACTGACCCACATCGGGGCCTGGGGGAATGTAATGGTAATAATAATTATAATAATAATAATTATTCATAGTAAATAAAAATTTTAATAAAAATACACCAAAATAAGATAAAAATGATTACAATAATAATAATAATAATAATAATAATAATAATAATAATAATAATAAAATTAATAAAAATAATACTGTAATAATAAAATAATAATACAGTAAAGAAATACAAGAATGAAAAAAAGATCAAAAGTGAGAAACACGACTAGACCTATGAATTATTATTATTATAGTTGTTATTATATTTTCGACCCCCAAGACCCAATGTGGGTCAGTGATCTATGCCCGGGTGGGCTAATACACATAAAAAAAAAAACCCTAACCATTCTGAAAACTGAAAAATTCCGAAAACCAAAATGCCTCTGGCCCCAAGGATTTCCGATAAAGGATTGTCAACCTGTATATTGTTTCTCACTCTTGATCTTTCTTTGGTTTATTTCTTTATGGTTCTTTATTATTATTATTGCAGTGTTATTATTATTATTATTATTATTATTATTATTATTATTATTATTATTATTATTATTAATATTAATATTATTATTATTATTATTAATATTATTATTATTATTATTATTATTATTATTAATATCATTATTAATATTAATATTATTATTATTATTATTATTATTATTATTATTATTATTATTATTATTATTATTATTATTATTGCCCCCCAGTTCCCGATGTGGGTCAGTGACTTGTGCCCGGGTGGGCTAATCCCTATAAAAAACACACAAGTGGGCAGTTGTGGTGGATATAAGAATGAAGGAAACTACAGCAGACATTGACCCATACTTGGCAGCCTTGTTCACAACCACTTATCATGCATATATCTGTCCAACCTATATTTGAAGCTTCTTAATGAGTTCGAGTTAATGACAAATTTGGTACAGTATTTCTTCTACCCAACGACAGCTCTATTTCTAAACCAGTGTTTATCTATTTTCCCCTAAATCTAAATTTGTCTAATTTAAAACCATTGCTACAGGTTTGCTTCTGGTTTGATAGTTTAAGTACCTTTGTTATATCATAATTATTTAACGATGAATTCCAGTTATACACTTTCATCACTCAACATGTCTTACAAGAATACAAATTCAGGTTTTCTGTTTCTATAATCAAGATCTCTAATGCCCGAGATTAGCCTTGTCATCCTCCTCTAAATACATTTTAGGGAATAAATATCCAGGGATGGGAGATTTTTTCTGGCTTTGAGATATGAAATACAGTCGGCCCTTAACATACGCGGGAGTTGAATGGCGCGCGATTTGAATGTACTTCAATTACTTCAATGTACAGAATATTCCTCCGGCGGGGCAATCCGCGTACAGTGATTTCTGCTATAACGCGTGTTTTGATAACGCGAATTTGCTCTAACGCGATTTATGAATTAGGAACGATATTTGTATAACGCGAACTCTTGTTTGCTATAACGCAATTTTTGCTTACTATTTCTTCAATTTTGTGGTACAGTGGGGTATGCTATAACGAATCTAATTGGTTCTAGAACCTTGTTCGTTATAGCATTCGTTCGTTATAGGATTAATCCGTTCTAGGCCCCCAAATACAACCACTTAACACTGAAAAATATAATATAAAATTGAAAAAATTGTAAAAAAGTGCATAAAGATGCATCTAAACCCCTGAAATAAAGAATATCATTAATATTTGTAATAAAAAAACAATAAATTAGAAAAAAAAAATTAAATAATGTTCGTTGTAGGAGTTTCGTTCGTTATAGCATTCTCAATTTTATAGGTGAAACCGTTCGTTATAGGAATATTCGTAGTAGAATCCGTTCGTTATAGCATACCCCACTGTATTAACTGTGAATATAGTAAAGAAGAATATCAACAAGAAGCGTTCTGGTGATAGAATTCCTGGTGATGATCGTAAAAGAAAGGATATAACACTTGAAGAGAAGCTCGATTTTATCAACCTCAAAATCACCCTTCTCCCCCATCAAGTAAAGTGTTATATTTACTGTATGATTTCATTATTAGATATGAATGTAACATTTATTTAGACTGTGCTATCCTTTGTGTTAGGCTAACTACTAAATTTTTTCGATTTCGAGTAATCTGCACCTAACCTTATTTTCTCCATAAGCCCTGTTATTTCTATTACGCGATTTTCTATAACACGATATTTTACAAGAACACAATTATCGCGTTATAGCAGAACTACCTGTATTTGCGAATTCGTGAATGCTATACCCGCGTATGTGAAGGGCTGACTGTAATGCATCATTCTGGAAAATTCCGGGGATGGAGGATTTCTTCCCTAGTTTGAGAAATGATGAAATGCGCAATTTCTGAAACTTTAAAAAAAAATTTCACAGTAGCTAAAAAAATCCAGAAAATTCTGAGGATGGAAGATTTTTTTCAGCTTTGATAGTAGGCAGCTACCAAATAGGGAGGTACTACTGCCTGGGAAGATATTGGAAGCATAATGTATTGTCTAATGGTAGACCCTGCTGCTATATGGCATCACAAAAATTGTGACCAAGTCCCAGGTTGCTGATCTGACTTTCTGCCTCATTTACTCACAATCGCAGGGTCTCAATTGTTTTTCTTACTTTAACAACACAACATACATACATATATTGTTTCTCACTCTTGATTTTTTTTCCTTTTTTGTATTTCTTTATTACAGTATTACCATTATTACATTTTCGCCCCCAGGCCCTGATGTGGGTCACTTACGTTAGGATAATTTATGTATGTCAGTTTCAACGCATATGTTTATCATTAATGTATATAATATATAAATACAGTGGTCCCTCGGTTAACGAGCACAATTCGTTCAAGAAGGTTGCTCGTTAACCAAAAAACTAGTTAACCGAAACCATTGTTTCAGTGGGTTTTTGGGTAATTGGTTCCAGCTCGCCGAAAATTGCCTAAATTCAACAAAAAAGGTAGAAAATCAACACTGCACTGCACTGCATTATATATTGTCAATATGTAAAATAAATTTCAAAATTACAATAATTTGCTTGCAAACACAGAAAAAAAAGCGTTTAGTTGAAGAGTCTCAAGCAAGATGTTACCTCCACTGAAAAGACACAAAGACTGACGCCTGTATGGTGTGTTGAGAGGCTGGATGGCATGCATAAAACTAGTCTCATTACCTTGAATTATGTTCAATAATTGTTAAAATGACTAAAAAAATTTAATATTAAACTTTTAAAATTATTGAATAGTATAAACTTTTTGATATTTGCTAAAATGGTAAGGAATTTAAGCCCTAGAAACGATTACTGTGTTGGCGGACTAATACTACAGCTGGTGGACCGCCAAATACAAGCGAAAACATGTTCAGGTCGGTTCGTAAGAAACTCGTTAATCGAGGGATTGCTCGTTAACCGAAGTTAAGAATCGTATGGAAGGTAACTCGTTAACCGAAATTTCGTTAACCGAGGCTCTCGTTAACCGAGGGACCACTGTAGTTATGATGCAAGTTCTCTGCCTTGTGGTATGCCACTAGTGATGTTACCCCAGTCAGATTTATTGTCATTAAAGCTGAATCTTTGTTTTTAGAATATTCCCTGAAATACCATGAGCCTTCACACTATTGGAGTCTTTCATTAGGGACCCCGTCAAAGGCTAATACTAATAGATTTGCCAGTTGTCAGACATGAAAGCCATCTAGTAAAGCCATGTTGAGTCGTTAATCAATTTGTGTTTCTCGAGGTGATTTAAATTGAGTTTGTAACTATTGCTTCTGATAATTTACAATTGGTGTTAAACTGATTAGACAGTAGTTAGAGTATAGTGATCTGAAGATCCCTTTTTGAAAATCACAATCACATTCCCTGTTCTCCATGATTCTGGTCCAATGCCCGATTTTAATATATTAAACAAGTTTGCCAAAGGCATATGAAATTCTTCCTTACATTCCTTTGATTCTCTGACAAATATATCACTGAGAACTGGCATCTTATTAGGTCTAGTTTATCTATTTACTAATTTTATTTCTAGTTACTATTAATTTGCTTAATATATTTTCTTCATTATGTCTATAGATAGTATCTTATTTAAGTTTTTGGTTGTGAAAACTGATGAAAAATATCCAGTCTGAATATTATTAATTTCCCTCTCATTATGAGTTAAGTGACCTGAATTTGATTGTACTGGTCCAATCTTGTCACATAATGAGCATAACAGAATCCAAATTAAATTATTTAAAAATTTTCCAGTCTACCATATAATCAAGATATGTTCTGAGTTACACTTTTTTTAAATATTGTCATTAATGTCTGGTAGTCCCATGGCCTAATAGATCCCGTCATACAGAATTCCAACCTGATCTACTTTAACTGGTAGGATTGGAGTTGTTCTACTGGTCTCCAGCATTATTTTAGTAAAAAAAAGTTCCCAAGTAGGATTAGGGCTCAGTTCTCAAGTTCCCAGTCTTAACTGGTCCTAATCCTGATGGCTAGTTTCAGGTAGAGCCTATTAAGACTGGCCATTTGATCTGCACCTGAGAGAGTAGAGCATTAGGTGTAAACTGTTCAGGAAATACTTTTACTCTTTTTCAGTGCTCAATTACAAAAGCATACTGGCCCAAAGTATACTGTTCTTGATTGCTGGCTATGACACTACCGCCTCTACCCTGGCCTTCGCCTCCTTCTTTCTGGCCAAGAACTCAACCCATCAACAGCACCTCCGCAAGGAGTTACAGGGGATAGTTAAGGAACATGGTGACTTAACATACCAAGGCATCATGGAGGCCAAGTTTCTCGATGCCTGTCTTTTGGGTAAGACATATATTGCTAAAGGTCCATCCACTTGTTTGGTCACAATCAAGGGTATGGACACTTGTTCTAGCAACACATTGTGGTCATTCAAAATGATAATTATATAATTGAGATTAAGTTGCAATTTATTATGTTTGTGCTAATTTGCAGGTACTTAGCGAATGTTTAATTACTGTCCAGTACTGTATAATATTTTCAGAAACTCTTCGACTGTACCCACCAGCACCAATGCTAGAGCGACAGTGCACCAAGGACTACCAGTAAGTACTGTATATTATTCATCAGGTGTAAGTTTATAATATAGTACAGCACTGTATGCCATTTGCCTCTGTCTACCCAGCAGTGATTGGGTCCCTGGATGTTGATTGATTGGCAGATTGTGTTTTGGAGTAATTAAATGGCCAACTGAGTTATACACCTTGTTAACTTGGATATATGCTTATAGCAATATTGACAACTTCTACACTTTAAGGATATTTATGTCTAGGTAGTCTTAGGGCCAGTTAGCTTCCAAGATGATACAGTATTGTTAATACTCTGTTCATCAAAGAAGACTGGTCCAATGCCAGCCACTGTGGAAAAGTTAAAGGAAATGATATGCGAGGCTGTTAAAAAAATGTCAGTATATGTTACAAAATGGATCCAAATGCTAATGGGTACATTAGGGTGTTGGTGTTACAGCAATACCATGCTTAACTGTCACTATTGGATCCTGGGCTTGATCCCTGGGACAAGTGTGAGACCCACCAAACATCGCAAGTTTTCTTTGGGTAATCCAGATTCCCCCTAACACTGGACAGTGTAGGTTGTAACAGAGAACAGATTGTTGTCACAAGAAAGGTTGCGATGAGGACTGAAGACTGAGGTCCATTTAGCTGCAACACAAATGCTGTAGTAGAGTAATACAGGTAGTTCTGCTATAACGCGATAATTGTGTTCTTGTAAAATATCGTGTTATAGAAAATCGCGTAATAGAAATAACAGGGCTTATGGAGAAAATAGGGTTAGGTGCAGATTACTCGAAATCGAAAAAATTTAGTAGTTAGCCTAACACAAAGGATAGCACAGTCTAAATAAATGTTACATTCATATCTAATAATGAAATCATACAGTAAATTTAACACTTTACCTTGAAAAAATATGAATGTAACTTGATGGGGGAGAAGGGTGATTTTGAGGTTGATAACATCAAGCTTCTCTTCAAGTGTTATATCCTTTCTTTTACGATAATCACCGGGAATTCTATCATCAGAATGCTTTTTGGAGATATTCTTCTTTACCATATTCACAGTTAATACCACAAAATTGGAGAAATAGTAAGCAAAAATCGCGTTATAGCAAACAAGCGATCGCGTTATACAAATATTGTTCCGAATTCATAAATCGCGTTAGAGCAAATTCGCGTTATCAAAACACGCGTTATAGCAGAACTCACTGTACAGTGGTCCCTCGGTTAACGAGCACAATCCGTTCCAGCAAGTTGCTCGTAACCGAAAAACTCGTTAACCGAAGCCATTGTTTCAATGGGTTTTTAGGTAATTGGTTCCAGCTCACCGAAAATTGCCTAAATTCAACAAAAAAGGTAGAAAATTACATTTACTTTGAGGTGTGTATGTAGATGACTCCTGGATGATGATGGGAAGTAGAATGGGGGTGGAGGAGAAGGGAGAAGAGAAGGCATTGGGGTGGAAGAGAAGTCACCCCATGGTGCCATTTCACCCAAGAAATTTTAGTTCTCTTGGTGTAATTCAAGATTATTTTCTTTAAATCAACACTGCACTGCATTATATATTGTCAATATGTAAAATAAATTTCAAAATGACCAATAATTTGCTTGGAAACACAGAAAAAAGCGTTTAGTTGAAGAGAGTCTCAAGCAAGATGTTACCTCCACTGAAAAGACAGAGAGACTGGCGCCTGTTTGGTGTGTTGCCAGGCTGGATGGCACACATGAAACTGGTTTCCTTACCTTGAATTATGTTCAATAATTGATAAAATGACTAAAAAATTTAATATTAAACTTAAAATTATTGAATAGTATAAACTTCTTGATATTTACTAAAATAGTAAGGAATTTAAGCCCTAAAACCGATTACTGTATTGGCGGACTAATACAACAGCTGGTGAACCGCCAAATGCAAGCGAAAACATGTTGAGGTCGGCTCGTAAAAACTCGTTAATTGAGGGATTGCTCATTAACCGAAGTTAAGAATCTTATGGAAGGTAACTCGTTAACCGAAATCTCGTGAACCGAGGCGCTCGTTAACCGAGGGATCACTGTACAGTGGGGTATGCTATAATGAATCTAATTGGTTCTAGAACCTCGTTCGTTATTGGATTAATCCGTTCCAGGCCCCCAAATACAACCACTTAAAACTGAAAAGTTTCTGTGGAAATTGTAAAAAATACGGTGCTTTATCTTACCTTAGCGTTGTTAGCATGCAGGACAGGAGGCAGAGGAGGAGGGGGGAGGAGAGAATTATGGAGAAGAGGTGGAAGGAGAGGAGTCACCCTTCCTAGCCCTCTTTGGTGACTGTCTTACAGGCACTTTGTCTGTTTCTTTATAATTTCTTTCTTAGTTTCAAGGGTTATTAGCTTTCTCACTCGCTTTTGACGATTCATTGTTACAATTGTACACTTGTATAACAAAATAGTTATAAAAATAACACGAATTTCCACATCAAAAGACGAAATTTCAACAAGTTCAGTGGTGCACTGACTACACAATGAACCAATATGGCACCTGACGCTCTTGCTGTGAGCCGCGGTACAACAATATTCATGCGCCAGACGAAATAGTCCCGTATTCATCCGCGTTCGTTGTAGGAGTTGCGTTCGTTATAGCATTCTCAATTTTATAGGTAAAACCATTCGTTATAGGAATACAGGTAGTTCTGCTATAACGCGATAATTGTGTTCTTGTAAAATATCGTGTTATAGAAAATCGCGTAATAGAAATAACAGGGCTTATGGAGAAAATAGGGTTAGGTGCAGATTACTCGAAATCGAAAAAATTTAGTAGTTAGCCATACACAAAGGATAGCACAGTCTAAATAAATGTTATATTCATATCTAATAATGAAATCATACAGTAAATATAACACTTTACTTGATGGGGGAGAAGGGTGATTTTGAGGTTGATAAAATCGAGCTTCTCTTCAAGTGTTATATCCTTTCTTTTACGATCATCACCGGGAATTCTATCACCAGAACGCTTCTTGTTGATATTCTTCTTTACTATATTCACAGTTAATACCACAAAATTGGAGAAATAGTAAGAGAAAATCGCGTTATAGCAAACAAGCGTTCGCGTTATACAAATATCGGTCCTAATTCATAAATCGCGTTAGAGCAAATTCGCGTTATCAAAACACGCGTTATAGCAGAACTCACTGTTTTCGTAGTAGAATCCGTTCGTTATAGCATACCCCACTGTACTTGTTTCTAGATAATTTTCCTGATTTAATACAATTTTAGGAAATTTTTAACAGGTAACATAAGCAAGAAATATTGAGGTAGTATCTATGGATCAAAATGAGAACCTGAGTGTGTATTTTGACAATGAACTGAAGTTCTCGGATCATTTTGAGAAAAAGATAAATCAAGCAAATAAATTTGGTCAAATAGCGGTATAACTGGCATTTACATACCTAGACAGTCAGTCCCTCATAATGCCCTTTAAAAGTCAGTTGATTGAAAACATCCAAAGGAGGGCCACCAGGCTGGTACCTGCACTAGTTACCCAGAGAGATTAGAACTCCTGCAACTGTCTAGTTTATACTATAAGCAGGCAAGGGGTGACCTATTTAAAGTCTATAGGCACCTCAGAGGGTATAATAATACTCAGTTGAATGTCCATTCCTGGAGCTGGTGGATGCCCACCTCACTAGTGGTCACAGTTAAAGACTGAAGAAGCCCGAGTGCTAGCACTTTCAAGACCAGACTTGACCAAAACTGGTGCAGATACACACACATTCTGGAGCCAGTACATGTCAACAGTGTGTAACAGAGACGTGATCGACCATCAGTGGCTAACAAACCAATCAGTGGTGATGAGGATAAAGTACTGTATAAAAATTAGAGGTTGAAATTTGTTAGAGTTTGTTGTTGCATATTTTTTAGGAACTTCATTTACAAAACGTGTCTTAAAACAGATGCTACAGTGATCCCTCGGTTAACGAGTTACCTTCCATAAGATTCTTAACTTCGGTTAACGAGCAATCCCTCAATTAACAAGTTTTTACGAGCCGACCTCAACATGTTTTCGCTTGCATTTGGCGGTCCACCAGCTGTAGTATTAGTCCGCCAATACAGTAATCAGTTTTAGGGCTTAAATTCCTTACTATTTTAGTAAATATCAAGAAGTTTATACTATTCAATAATTTTAAAAGTTTATTAAATTTTTTAGTCATTTTAACAATTATTGAACATAATTCAAGGTAAGGAAACTAGTTTCATGTGCACCATCCAGCCTGGCAACACACCAAACAGGCGCCAGTCTCTCTGTCTTTTCAGTGGAGGTAACATCTTGCTTGAGACTCTCTTCAACTAAACGCTTTTTTCTGTGTTTGCAAGCAAATTATTGGAAATTTTGAAATTTATTTTACATATTGACAATATATAATGCAGTGCAGTCTTGATTTAAAGAAAATAATCTTGAATTACACCAAGAGAACTAAAATTTTATGGGTGAAATGGCGCCATGGGGTGACTTCTCTTCCACCCTAATGCCTTCTCTTCTCCCATCTCCTCCACCCCCATTCTAATTCCCATCATCATCATCATCATCCAGGAGCCATCTACATACACACCTCAAAGTAAGTGCACTTTTCTACCTTTTTTGTTGAATTTAGGCAATTTTCGGTGAGCTGGAACCAATTACCTAAAAACCTATTGAAACAATGGTTTCGGTTAACGAGCAACTTGCTGGAACGGATTGTGCTCGTTAACCGAGGGACCACTGTATTTAGTTTGGAGAACACTAATAAAAAAGAAACTAATATAAGTGATCGATATATAAGCCAGTTTATATAGATATTTCTATTCTTATCTATATTATTTTGTTACCTAACCCGTCGCGCGCTAATTCCCGTACTTATAGGGGTTGGGTGACTAGCCACCACCAGCGCTAATCCTGTAAAAGTACGTGGCTAGATTTATCATTGTCCTGAACTCATATTTGTGGTAGTAGCGAGATGCGCTTAGAGCTACATTATCACCCCCTCCTTGCCTATTAGTAAACTGCTTCCCGGACCACGTGGCTCCACGCTCTGCATGCCACAGCGGCCACAATGTTCATCACTCTGTGAGTCACGCTTACGCCAGTCATGCATGAACATGTCACACCGCTCTAGCTCCAGGCGGACTGAGGCGGAATACTTGCAACTTGCTGTCGAGTATGAGCCTACATCAGAGCTTACCCCAGATGATTTTTCTGAGCCGGATAATGACCCACTCTATGATCAGAATACTTCATCTTCTTGTTGAAGAGGTGAGGGAGATGTTTCAAATGTACTAGCAAGAACACCAAGTAACACCCAGTAATCCAGCTCGTGACACACCTCTCGCCTCAGAGGTTGCC